GGGGGGGGGGGGGGGGGGGCGATTGGGAAGGGAGGGTTTTGTCAGATGACAATAAATTCAGTGAAAATATGTGAGATTGGTACTGGTGTCCAGTGGCCGAGTTAGGAAGTGAAAATTCTTGGGGCCAGAAAGCCCTCGGACCAGAATCTGGCTTGACTTAATATGCTCTTGGCTCAGTATTCTTTTCAGAGAGGATAGGTGTGAGGAAAAGTCTAATAAAACCAACAAGGACAAAGTGGAGTAAGTTAAAATTAGACAAAATACACTTGAAGTCACCCAACTGTCTAGTTTCTCTATGGGTACTATGAATATTTATTGCTTTTGATTTAATTTCCTTATAGTGTGATAATGAGGCAGCATAGGAAATAAGAGTAGTCAGTTTGTTGGGATTATCACTGTCTCGAACACAGTAAAACAGAAGTAGCTGTAGTTTGATTGTCAGTATCCCAAGATCCTAAAAGAACAGTTGAAGACAGATGATGGATAATAGCATTTCTAGATTATTATGACGCCCATTCTAGGTTGGGTGAGGAGTTGAGAAAGAAAGATGCAACTGCTACTCTAAATTTGCCTGGGTCTTATATCTTTTTCTGGTGTGTCTGCCTTTGAGATAAATAAATATAGCTCATGGATTGGACTTCTGGGTATGTGCACACAAACAATTGTTAACAGTGTCAAGAGTTAACAAGCTAAAATATCGAATGATCTCATTCTCAGATTATAGTAGGAAAGGAAGTCAAAGTGAGATGATTTTTTTAAATTTAATACGTGTTTTCTTGAATTACATATCATTAACAACATTGTAAATGTAGTTGTCATTTCCTAGAGGAGAATTTTCTAATGATGTTTGACAGCTATCAAGTATTTCATAAGAGTACTTGCATCTACTTTATTCACTATGATTACATGTCTGTAAATTGATTGTGATGAGTAATTGACTCAGCATTAAAAGTTTATAAATAAACATGTAAAATTAATATTTGATAACTTATCAAGTTTCATGTTGGCTTTTGTAGATGTGAAACTTGTGGTACAGAAGAAGCAAAGTACAGATGTCCACGTTGTATGCGCTATTCCTGCAGGTATGTATGTCATTTCCTACCCTGTTATCTCTGCCTGTATCCTTTTTACCTCAAAGTGTAAAAGTACCTCCTCTTTTGTCTCTTCAGTTTGCCCTGTGTAAAGAAACACAAAGCAGAACTGACATGTAATGGAGTTCGAGATAAAACTGCGTATGTTTCAATGCAACAATTTACTGAAATGAATCTCCTAAGTGGTAAGCCATCTTCTGCATAGCCGATTGATGCTTCCTGGCCATTGGCATATATCATTTGTTTATTTTTCTATTTCGAAATTTGTAGATTATCGATTCTTGGAAGATGTAGCAAGAACAGCAGACCATATTTCTAGAGATGCTTTCTTAAAAAGACCAATAAGCAATAAACATGTAAGTATTTCTTCTACTCCCTTCCAGTTAGAATTTCTTCTGCTGAATTAGATTCTTTTTTTTTTTTCACTCATCAAATATATTAAGTTACTAGGGATACAGCAGTGACCAAAACAAGGTCCTTCTCCTCATGGAGCTTGTATTGTAGCAGGAGAGACAGGAGATGAGTAGAGGAACAAATATAATTTCAGGTAACGTTAAGTGCATGTGGAAGATAGGACACAGGAAATTAAAGAAAATGAAAATGGTGTTTGTTTGCTGGGGGAGGAGGGCATTATAAGGGTACTATTTTCCGTACAGTAGTCAGGAAAGGCTTCTCTGAGAGATGACATTTAAGCAGCAGTCTGAATGATGAGAAAGAGGCAGTCATGTGAAGGTTTGGAAAAAGACTTTCCAGGTAGAGACAAAAGCAAAAGTAAAGAGTGAGTCAGGGGCTTCCCTGATGGCGCAGTGGTTGGGAGTTCGTCTACCGATGCAGGGGACACGGGTTCGTGCCCCGGTCCGGGCGGATCCCACGTGCCGCGGAGCGGCTGGGCCCATGAGCCATGGCCCCTTGGCCTGCGCGTCCGGAGCCTGTGCTCCACTACGGGAGAGGCCACAGCAGTGAGCGGCCTGCGTACCGCAAAAAACAAAAAAAAGAGTCAGGGTTGAAGTTAGGGTGTTTGAGGAGTTAAAAGAGGGGCAAGGTGACAAGCGTAGTTGAGTGAGGAGCATGTTGAATGTGAGGTTAAAGAAACTAGTGAGGGCTCCTAATGTATTCGAAGTAAAAATGGAAGCCACGGGTGGACGTTGAGCCTGTTTGCTTTTTGAGAGATCACTCTTGCTGCTCTCTGGAAAGTGGACTTGAGTAGGCAAGAGTGGAAGATTGGAAGCTGGGAGACCAGTTATAAGGCTGTTGTTGTGGTTCTAGTCAGAGAGGATGCTGTTAGAATTATTGGGAAGTGATTACACTTGAATTTTGAAAGAAGACCTAACAGGACTTGTTGCTTTAATATACTTAATTTTCATACTTTCATCCCTTTTTCATTCCTTATGCACTATGCAAAATTAAAAGCTTACATATTTGAAGTATTTTGCAACTGCTATTGTTCTAAAATTTTTTAAACAATTTTATTAAATCACATCATGGAATTATGTTCACTTTTCAATACCATTTTGGTATTGGAGTTGCAGAATTTTAGTGCCTTTTAAACAGTTTATTTTATTGGTGTGTTTCATACAGACATGACATTACCCACATCTGAAAGAAAAATTACCACGCACCAAGTCTTTTTTTCCCTCAAGCCTAATTAGACATAATTAAATTCTACTTAAAAGATAAACCACTTTTTAAAATTGTTTTTGTGAAATATGGCATGCATATATAAAGCATAAAATAGAAATACACTTTTTTTTTTGGCTACACTGGGCCTTCATTGCTGCACGTGGGCTTTCCTTAGTTGCGGCGAGCAGGGGCTAATCTTCATTACGGTGCGTGGGCTTCTCATTGTGGTGGCATCTCTTGTTGCGGAGCACAGGCTCTAGGCGCACGGGCTCAGTAGTTGTGGCTCACGGGCTCTAGAGAGCAGGTTCAGTAGTTGTGGTGCATGGGCTTAGTTGCTCCGCAGCATGTGGGATCTTCCCAGACCAGGGCTCAAACCTGTGTCCCCTGCATTGGCAGGTGGATTCTTAACCAATGCGCCACCAGGGAGGTCCAGAAATACACAATTTAATGAATAATTATGCAGTAAACATCCATGTAACTACTACCTAGGTCTAAAATTAGAACATTACCAGCTTCTCAAAAGTTCCTGCCACCAGCTTATGCCCTTTCCTGAACCATTCTTATTTCTGGATTTTCTGTAATAAATGGACTCTGGGTTTTCTAAATTTTAGAAACAGTGAACACTTCTGTTTAGGAATTGTGGTTTGCTTATACATATGTTTTTCTGGGGTTTATACCTAGAAGCTGAGTTGCTTTGTTGTGGTGTATGCATATCTTCAATTTGACTGTATGTTACCAAAACATTTTCCAAAGTGGTGATACCAGTTTATACTCACAGTAGTGTTTAAGTGTACCTATTGTCACATCTTCTCCAATACTTGACTTGGTCAGAGTTTCTGAGTTTTTGTCAATTTGATGGCTGTGTTATTTTATTATGATTTTTACTTTGTAGTTTTCTGATTCTTAAAGAGATTGAGCACCTTTCAAATATTTTATTGGCCAATTGGATATTCTTCTTTGTGGTATGCCTGTTAAGTCTTTTGTTCATCTTTTCATTGATCAGTTGTTTTTTCTTACTGGTTTGTAGTAATTTTTTGTACTTTTAGATGCTAGTTGTTAGTTGGTTGTATGTGTTATAAATTCCTTCTTTCATTCTGTGGCTTGTCTTGTTACTCTCTTTAGTGTTTTATGGTAAACAGATGTTCCTAATTTTCATGTAGTAAAAATTATTGTATGTTTCCTGTATAGTTAATAGTTTTATGAGTTTATAAAGAAATCCTTCCCTTCCTTGTTATGAAGCTATTCTCCTGTAACTATTTTCTAAAAGCTTTACAGTGTTGCATCTCCCATTTATGTCTGTAAACATGGAATTGATTTTTGTCTGGCATGTCACGTGGAGGTGCTATGTAATTTTCCACATAGATAATCTACTTTTTCTAGCATCATTTATTGAAAAAATTCATCCTTTACCTACTGCTCTGCAGGACCATCTTTGTCACATATCAGGCATCCATATATGCTTGGGTCAGTTTCTGGCCTGTCTGTTCATTCTGGTGGTCCTCTTATCTATCCACACCAATGCTCAATACTCTAAACTATTGTAGTCTTTTACTGAAACTCGCTGAAAAAGTAAGTCCTCCCACTTCATTCGTTTTTTAGAATATAGCCATTTTTCTAGAATATTTTCTAGAGTATTTTCTAAAATATGGCTGTGGCTCTTTGTAATTTTATACAAATATGAAAAATCAGCCTATTGATTCTACAGTCCTACCTTCCCCACCTGGGAATTTTGATTGGGGTTGCATTTATTTTGTAGAGTTACTTGAGTGATTGGATTTTACAGCATTGAATGTTTAAATCCTTGACTGTTGTATCTCTGCATTTATTTGGTTCTTTAACATCTCTATAATTTTTTCAGTGAAGGTCTTGCATATTTCTTATTAGATTTATTCTTGGGCACTTTATTTTTTCATACTATTTTAAGTAGTGTTTTCTTTTTAATGTTTTATTATCTCTTTGCTGGTATTTAGGAATGAGGGATTTTTGTTGTCTGTTTTATAGTAGTAACCATATTAAAATCTGTCCCAATACCTTATCTATAGATTCTTTGAGATTTTCTCTATAAACAGTTCATCACAATTTGTTTCTATCTTTCTGTCCTTGTTCTTTTATCTCTTTTTCTTGCCTTATTTGGTATAGCTAGGACTTCCAATAATGTCAAATAGTGCTGATAGTAGATATTTATGTTGTAAGTAGAAGTCCATCCCTAGGTTTGATGATTTGCTGAAAGGATTCACAGGATGCAACATACAGTTGTACTCATGGCTAAAATTTATTACAGTGAAAGGATACAGAGCAAAATTAGCAAAAGGAAAAAGTATATGGGGCAAAGTCTATAGGAATCCATCCACAAGCTTCCCAAAGTCCTCTTCTTTTGGAGTCACATCGTACGCAGTTAATTCCTTGGGCAATGGGTTATGATAATTAATGTTTGAAGTTACTGTCTACCAGGGAAACTCACTGCCCAAGGTTTTTATTGGGGGCTGATCGCAGAAACACCCTCGCCCTAGCACTTGCCGAATTCCATACTCCCAGAAGGGAAGCAGATAAAACCACATTTTTGTACAATTTCAGCACAGTGAACCACTCTTATCATTTTAGGAAAAGTTTTATGTCAGTGTAGGGTCCATTTACCAGTCAGTCAAATTCCCAGACACCAGCCAAGAGCCAACCTTGCCAACAGAACTTTCTAAGGATAACAGTCTCAGGCCTGGTACATTAACTGTTCTGTACATCTTTGTTTCATAACTCCTGATCATAGAGGGAAAAGTTTCAAGATTTCACCATGATGTTTGCTTTTAAATTTTTTGTAGATACAGTTTGATATTTAAATTAAAGAAGTTCTGTTCCTAGTTTGCTAACAGATGTTAACATGAATGGTGGTTATATTTTATCAAATGCTTTTTCTGTATTTGATTATTTCTTCTTTTAATATATAATATTCTAGTATGAATAATAATCTTTTAATCAATTTTCTATTGTAAGTTAAACTTGCATGGTATATTATTATCATACCCTGCTTTTTATACGTTGCAGAATTCAGTTGTATTATGTACATGTACACATCCATTCATTCATTTTTGCATTTCTGTCCATGAGTGAAATGACTTCTGATTTTCCTTTTTGGTATTCTTAGGTTTCTATATCATTGTGATTTTAGTTTCATAAAATTATTTGGGAATGCTCGCATTTTGGTCCTGGGTACATTAACTAACATTGGGATTATTTCTTCCATGGGAGTTTGGTAAAATTTATTAATGGGCTTCTGAAGTTTATTCTTCACTGTTTATTGGACTATTTAGGTTTTCTCTGTCTTCTTGAGTCATTGTTAGTAGACTACATTTTTCTAAGAATTTTTCCATTTTACCTAAATTTTCAAATGTATTGGCATAAAGTTCTTCATATTTTCCTTTACATGTCTGTAGAAGTTGTATTATCATTTGTGATAATCCTTATTTGTGTCCTCTTTTTTTCTAGATCAGTTGCTATTGTGAATTCCTTTTCTGTTTTGTTAATGTGTCCTCTTGACTTTTGTTATATCCTTTTATATTTTTAGCTTAATTGCATTGTGGTCAGAGAACATATTTTTTCTGAGTTCATTCTTTTAAAATACATTAAGACTCGTGTTTATGGCCCAGCATGTGGTCAGATTTTGTAATGTTCTCTGTGGGAAAGAAAAATTATTCTGCATTTGCTAAATCTAGTATTCTAAATATATTCCTTTTAGGTCAGATTTGTTAATTATGTTGTTCAAATTATTTATAGTGCTACTGGGTTTTTTTTGTTTTTTGTCTGTTTTTCTATCAGTTACTGAGAGAGGTGTGTTAACATTTCCCAATAGATAAAATCAAAAGGATTTGTATGTTTCTCCTTGTGGTTCAGTTAGCTTTGCTTCATATGCTTTAAGCTAAATTATTAGATGCATACTTCAGGAAATTCTTGGTGTATTTAACCTCTGGCATTATGATGAGACCCTTTTTGTCTCAAGCTTTTTGTGTACTTTATCTGGTATTGAACTATTTCAGTCCTTTGGTTGGTATTTGCATGGTGTATTTTGTCCCTTACTTTTACTTTAGGCCTTTTTGTATCTTTATGTTCTGGATGTACCTTTTCAAAGTACCATATAATTGGGTTCCAGTTTTTCTCCATTCTGACAATCTGGAACTTTTAACTGAATCATCAAATTCATTTACTTTTTAATAAAATTACCTATATATTTGACTTTAAATGTGTCACCTTACTTGTGCTATTTGTCCACTTGCTTTGTTTTGTTTTGTTCTTTTTCTTCTTATCTTTTGGACTAATTGAGTAATTTCTTATCATTTGAATTTTTCTTCTATCAGTTTAGAACTTATACATCCTTTTTCTATCCTTTCATTGGTTAGGCTAGACATTGCATGCATACTTCATTTATCAGTATCTAAAGTTAATCAGTACCTTAAGCCTGTACTTAAACAATGCAATGACCTTAGAACAGGAGCTGGCAAACTTCTTCTGTAAAGAGTCAAATAGTAAACCTTTTTTTCAAACCTTATGGTTTCTGTCACAACTACTCAACTCTGCCACTGTAGCAAAAAAGCAGCCATGAATAATACATAAACAAATGCACAGGGCTGTATTCCAAAAAAATTTGTTTATAAAAATAGGCAGGAGGCAGGATTTGGCCCTAGTTTGCCAGCAGTTACCTTAGGACACTTAAATTCCATTTAACACTCTACTGACTTTTCGTATTGTTTTCAGGTATTTAAATGACTTTTGTTTCAATCTCCTTACAGTAATTACTGTTTTATCCAGTCAGTGTTTGTTTTGGTTTATCTTCATATTTCCCACTTTCTTTGCTCTTTATTTTTTCTGCCATCATCTTAGACTTTCTGTCTGAGAGATCACTTTCTACCTCAAGTAGATCTTTTAGAATGTCCTTTAGAGAGAGTTTGCTGGTTGCCAACTCTTAGATTACTCTATTGGCATTTAAATCACTCTTAAATGATTTTTGTCTATAGAATTCTGGATTCAGAATTACTCTTCCATTGTCTATGGCTTCCATTTTTATTGTTGTAAAGTCATTTGTCATTTTTAACTGCCTTTGAAATATTTTTTCTCTGAATGCATTCTTTTTATTGTTGGTCTTCTGCATTTTTACTATACTGTGAAAATGCACCTTTCTTTTTATTTATCTTACTTGGGAATTATTAGATTTATTCAATCAGTGGAGTGTCTTTCATCAATTCTGGGAAATTATCAGCTCATTTCTATTAAAATATTACTTGTGCTTTATTCATTCTCTCTTCTTCTAAAACTACCATTAAATGTGGCTTAGGCCTTCTCCCTATATCATACTTACCCCTTAACCTCTCCTGATTCTGTCATCTTTTTTATCTCTAATGCAAAATTTTAATTTGGCTTATTTAAAAATCTGCTGAGTCCCTTTTTTTTTTTTTTTTTGCGGTACGCGGGCCTCTCACTGTTGTGGCCTCTCCCGTTGCGGAGCACAGGCTCCGGACGCGCAGGCTCAGCGGCCATGGCTCACGGGCCCAGCCGCTCCGCGGCATGTGGGATCTTCCCAGACCGGGGCACGAACCCATGTCCCCTGCATCCGCAGGCGGACTCTCAACCACTGCGCCACCAAGGAAGGCCTGAGTCACTTTTTATAGTTTCTCTTCACTGCACATATTTTCAGGCTTGCTTTTATTCCTTTAAATTTTGCAGAGCAGTTCTGTAATCTGTGTATGATTTTTTTAGTGTCTGAATATATAGGGAGCTCTCTCAGCTACATCTTTTTTCTCTTTTGGTTCCAGTACACTGAGCCTTGTTTTCTTACATTGTTTATACTTTTTTATTTTTTGTTGAGTACTGCTTTTTTTTTTTCTTTAAATATTATTTGTGGGAATTTTTTGAAGGTTAGAAGAAACAGGCCTTCCTTTATTCTACCAGGTACCTAAGAACATTGCAGATCTGGACTATTGTAAACCAAGTTGAAGGTTTAAGACTGTGTTAACCAAACAAGCAAGGCAAATCATTTTATGGACTAGCATGGGCTCAACCAACCTACATGATCCATGGAGTAACACATGTCAGAGCTAGAATTCTCATATCCCATTTTGTACATCCTACATCAGTGGCTACTTTAAGTTAAGCCTTGTACTAGGCAGTGCCATAGTTCCTCCCTGAATGAAGCTACCTGACTAGTAATAGAAACAGGCATATATATATATAGCTAACTATGGTATGAAACCATCAGTAAAAAAAGAAAGAACTGTATAGGTAATCCCTGTGATTGCTAAAACCTGTATTTTTTAAATCCCCATAAAATTCTTCTTTTGGCTTATAGAGTATATGGTTAAAATCACAGGCTCTGGAATTAGACAGACCTGGATTTGAATGTAGGCTTTACATCTCAGAAATAGCTGAAATAGCAGAAACGGGAGTAGTAATAGTACCTGCCTCATAGTATTGTGAGGATTAAATGAGACATTGCTGTTCAGTGCAGTTTGTGAAACATAAGTACTCAATAAATCTTAACTATTATGTTTTGAACATACGTGCATTTGGAATTTAAGGCATTTTAATATTAATTTGCCTATTTGTTTCTGGTTGTTAGATGTACTTTATGAAAAATCGTGCTCGAAAGCAAGCTATTAACTTAAAACTTCTACCCAATGGATTCACCAAAAGGAAAGAAAATTCAACATTTTTTGATAAGAAGTAAGTGTCTGACTTGTTTCTTAGTATATCAGATGTTCTGATTTGATTAGGAACATCTTTTAAGGTTTGGTTTACTATAGAACATTGCTACTCAAAGTGTGGTCTGTGAGGTGTTGGTTATTGGTACAGGACAAGATGACTGCACAAATTGGAAATAAACATTTAGGAACTTATGCTAATTTTATGTCATGTGACTTTAATAACAGTTTGGGTTTGCTCTGTGTGTGTGTGTGTGTGTGTGTGTGTGTGTGTGGTGAGAGATGGAGAGAGAGAGAAGAGAGTGTGTGTACGTGTCTATCCTCTCTGAGACCTAAGATACCGTGAAAGTATTTCAGAAGCTTCAAGGACAAAGCAATAAGTCAAAGCAGAATTCCTGCATATTTTTAACCAAAGCAGCTTGGCTTTTATAATCCTTTTACTTTGGGATTCCAAATAGAATTTCATTTGAGAGCCAGTGATGGAGAAGAAGGGGAACTTGGAAAACATTTAGTCTGTAGTGAATCTGTGAATACAGATAATACATTAGAGATGAGTTTCCTGCTCTCTGAGAGTGCTGGGTCAAAAAGGCCCCAGTAGTACAGAGAAGAACAGGATCCCAAAGTACTGTAAGTAGCCCACTAAATTATTGGATAATACCTTTCAAAAGTCAACATTCTGGATTTAGAGTCAAAAAACCTGAGTGAGTCCTCCCTGCTTCAGCCTCTTAGTAACTGTGAGGCCTTGAGCAAATTAATTCTTTTCTCCGGGCTCCATCTGCATAATGGTGGGGGTTGTACTAGGTAAACTGTAAGGTTCCCTCACAATTTTACTACATACATTGAAGAGACAGAATGATCAGAATTATTCTAATAAACCTTCCATCTTTTCAGAAGATACTATATTATCAGAGAATGGTGTTATCCACTTATTTTATATGTTTCAAGACAAATATTTGTAAAGGTGGTTTTCCCTTTTTTTGGTTGGTTTCCAGGAGTAAAGTAATACTTTGCATTTATCAAATATGAGATGATTCTTTCGTGTATTTTGAAACTGACATATTTAGAAATAGACATAATTTGTTTGAAATTTAAGATAACTGGTTTGTGCCGTCTGAAATATAAAATGTATTCCTATTTTATGAAAGAAACCATTCAGAATGGTTTTACTACTACTTATATAGCCTCAAAATTTTAATTTTGGGGTCTTTAGACACATGAATATGTGGGAAGTTTTTTCCAAGAATACTACATTCAGTGTATTTTCTGGATTCAGAACACAAATTTATACTGTTATTTTGGAACACCTCAGATCTCTGAAATGGCAAATTGGACTCTTCTTGCATTATTCCTTTTACTCATGAATTTACAGTGATTTGGGCTTGATTTTCTTATATTTTTAGTGTCTTCCCATGCAGAGATTAGCAACATAGTACACAGTAGACTTTAGAGTCAGTTTCTTAGCTGCTTTCACATCTGTAAAATGGAGCTAATGATAGCTACTGTATAGTTGTGACCTTAGTGTATTAATTTACCTAGACACTAACTGGAGTGTAGGAAGGAATCAGCATATAGTAGCAATTGTAAAAGTAATACATCCTCATCATAAAAAAAATTAAAGGAAAAATAGCACCTTTAATTCCACTACGCAGAGACAACCACTGATAATATTTTATGTTTTCTTCTAATCATGTGTCCTTTTTTCAATTAATAAAGTAAAACATAATATTAAATACTTATATAAAAGTATAAAAAGTTACATGACTCTCCTCAAGTTAAACATTATTCATCTATGTGAATAAAGGCACACACTTTTTTCTACAGCTAGCTTTTTTCTATTTAACAATATATTATGGACATCTTACTTGTTAATGCAAATCTGCCTCACTTTGTTTAAGTAGTATATTTCAACTATGACTACTATATCCTAATTCATTTATTCCTATATTCATGAACATTTTTAGCTAATTTCTAGATTTTAATTATTACAAATAATGCTGTTATAAACATCCTTGAATAAATTGTTTTGTGTGCTTATGTGACTTTTTCTGTATGATCAATTCCTAGAAAGTGGAATTACTGGGTCAGAGACTACATGCATTTATACTTTTGAAGGAAACTCCAAATTGTCCTCCCCAAAAAAGTACCACTTTGTACCTTCCACAAAAAAGTATGAGTGCCTATTTTAGTTATACTGCACTTTAATTGAATATTATTAGACTTTTTTGCATATCTGATTAGAGGTTGAACAGTTGAATTTTTTCATTTAATGTGCCTGCTTATATCTCATCTTGATCTGTTGCATGCATTGTAAATGTTTTCACCAGTCTTTTCACCCTTAATTTTGTCTTCCAGTCATTTTTGATTCATTTTAAAGAGTTGTAAAAAAAAATTCTATAAAACATAGAGACAGTAAAATGGAGTGGTTAAGAGCACAGACTGGAGCTAGGCTGCCTGGGTTCAGATTTCTAACCAGCTGCTTCCTAGCCATGTGATATTAAGCTAAGCCACCTAACTTCTTTGTGCTTCAGTTTCCTCATCTATAAAGTAGGGCTAGTAATAATAAACTAGGGATAAGCCAGTTTTCATTTCCATTTGTAGTAAATGAGAATACCTGTTTAAACATCTCACTAGCACTGAGTTGTCTCTTTTTTTAAAAAATTTTGTTGCTATTTTGGAAAGTGGAAATGATATTTTGTTTTAATTTGATTTTATTTAATTGCTACTTAGATATGGAATATTTGGCCACATGTTTCAGAATAATATCTTACAATTCAAGGGTGAATTTTGACTTAATCCAATCCATGGTAGTAAGATAATCTTTCATTCTTATAACTATTTTGGTGAAATAAATAATTCAAAATAATTGGTGAAATAAATAATTGAAATCTATGGAACCGAATTTTTCTATTTGTTCTTTGTTAAATTGCCCATTATTATTTATAAATGGAAAATGCCACGAACTGAATTTAAAATGTCTGTGTTTGGATGTTTGATGAATAGTAAAGCATTAAGATGAATTCCCTGTTAGTTGATAGCCATACTTCGAATATTCTGCTTAGTTGGTTGATAATCAGCTTGGAAATCTCTTTAGTGTGTTCCTATATTTTGTTCATTCTTGTTCAGCATTTTCATCAGTGATTTAGATCATGATTTCTTATCTTGGCACTGTGATGTTTTGAGCCACAGAGTTCTTTGTCGTGAGTGGCTGACGTGTGTATTATAGGATGTTTAGCAGCATCCCTGGCTTCTACTGACTAGATTTTGGTAACACACAGACACACACACACACACACACACACACACACACACACACACACACACACACACACACACACACACACATCCCCTGGGATGGGGGCAGTGGGGAGAGGCAAAATTTGAGAGCCACTGATTTAGATGAATACGGAAGACATACTTATTGAACTTGATGTTTGGCAAGATCAGGATTGCAGAAAATTTTGATTGCTAAAAGGTGATATATAAGTAGCAAGATAAATATATATGGTCCTGTACTTAACTCTTAGGGGGGAAAAGTGAAGAAAGGCATTTAGAAGTACCTTCTTTGTGATATCTGTGTTTTCTCAGACATTCATATGAAAAACGATAAAAATTTTAGATGATCGTAGTGTTATTTGCTGGAAGGAGGGAAGAAGAGGATGCTACATCTTATCAAAGAATTATTTTTACCTCCCACATCGCCAGTATTGTGTTTTTAAGAGACGTGTTTTCAACGCTTTTTTTTTTTTTTTTTGCGGTACGCGGGCCTCTCACTGTTGTGGCCTCTCCCGTTGCAGAGCACAGGCTCCAGATGCACAGGCTCAGTGGCCATGGCTCATGGGCCCAGCCGCTCCGCGGCATGTGGGATCCTCCCGGACCGGGGCACGAACCCATGTCCCCTACATCGGCAGGCGGACTCTCAACCACTGTGCCACCAGGAAAGCCCCTCAATGCTTTTTTAAACTTTCAAAAGTGGTTAAGGTTTTGACTGAGATAAACCTGAATTTGAATATTGCCTCTACATATGGTTCACGTGAGGTGACCTCAGGCAAGAGCAAATTTACTGGGTTGTTGAAGGGAGTAAATGAAATAATACCTAAATTAATACCTGGCACTTAGTAGATAATGTGCAATGATAATAAACAATCTGCATTCTCTTACTGGAAATCTTTGGGGATATGTTTCATTTACTATATTATATTCATCCCTAGTAGGTCTGGGGCAGCATTATATAATCAAACAATACTATTTCTGCAGTGAAACCTACAAATGTTTACATTTTAATGGGAAAATAATGACTGTAAATGAGCTCAGTCAGGTTTCTGCTGCTGGAGGAGTTACGAAAATTTTTCAGTTTCAGAGATTCAGGGTTTGGAATTGTTCGTATGTGATCTTGGTCCTGTACTAAGATAATTACTCCCTAGGTATTAAATTGTTCCTTTGTTTGTTTAAGCAGCTTGAGCTACAGTATACACAAAAACTCAAATTAAAGTTCTTTAAAATTAAATGTTCCACAGTGTTCATTGCAGCACTATTTACAATAGCCAGGACATGGAAGTAACCTAGGTGTCCATTGACAGATGAATGGATAAAGAAGATGTGGCACATATATGCAATGGAATATTACTCAGCCATAAAAAGAAACAAAATTGAGTTATTTGTAGTGAGGTGGATGGACCTAGAGTCTGTCATACAGAGTGAAGTAAGTCGGAAAGAGAAAAACAAATACCGTATGCTAACACATATATATGGAATCTAAAAAAAAGAAAGAAAGAAAAAATGGTTCTGATGAACCTAGGGGCAGGACAGGAATAAAGACGCAGATGTAGAGAATGGACTTGAGGACACGGGGAAGGGGAAGTGGGACGAAGTGAGAGAGTAGCATTGACATATATACACCACTAAATGTAAAATAGATAGCTAGTGGGAAGCAGCTGCATTGCACGGGGAGATCAGCTTAGTGCTTTGTGACCACCTAGAGGGGTGGGATAGGGAGGGTGGGAGGGAGACGCAAGAGGTAGGGGA